TATAATTCTTATAATTAATATTTCATTGTCCAGCACACACTACTACATGTATACTGCCTATTGTTACTCTACACTGTCCATTTCTTGTTATATGTTTATTATTAATATTGCCATTGGCTCTAATCTACTGTTACATTACTGCAGTAATGATATTATTTTAAGTTATTATTATCCACACAATAGACAATAGCTCTTTGTCATGAAGTGGGCCAGCATTACAGGTATACACTACTTACATGTATATCAGTATTATTATTATTATTATTATTATTGTTGTTGTTATTATTATTATTATTGTAGTTGTTGTTATTATTATTGTTAGGCTCTGCCCCCCCCAGTGTTTGTTATTCCCAGCTGATTTCAGGTCCTCAATGTCATATGGTAATAACAGGTTCTTCTCTTTTGGTATTTCAGTAAATGACAAGAACTCATCACAATACATACCAGTGGTAGGGAATAGGACTAATAAGTGGGTGTGGTCACTATTAATAATTAATTGACAGTTGTCCCAGTCTGGACTGACGCTACCAGTCCTGATTCCTGTACTGATCCCAGTGCTGTTAATGTGGTAAGATTGTAAGTAATGGACTGGGTGTGGCCTTTTAATAATAATTATATTAATATATACATGTAAACTATTCCAAGTTTATACTGTTGATACTGTCATTAGTGATTAATAATACTAATGGAGGGACTGAGGCAGCTGCTGCTGCTGCTGGTAGTGGATTTGAACAAGTAGCAGATCAAATAATAAACCTGGAAACCAACCTGGCTAAAGTATGCACACACGGTACATGTATATTAATACATTATTAATTGAATAATTGTTATTATATAGGCGGTAGCCTATATGTAGGATTGAGGTTGGTTTTTCAAGATGGCGACGGTTTTTATGATTTTTAAACACTCATAACTCTTTTATCTTAGGTTGTACAGCCTTATAAATGGCTTAGATGAGCTCTCCTTCACTGAACGATTCTCCTGGTACCTTTGAAGTGGACTGTAATGTAGCGGTAGCATTTCTGGAGAATAGGCCCAAATTGGCAAATTTCTGCAAAATTAATTCTTCAGACTTTTTCTTCTTCTTCTTTCATCAGTTTCTTCTATGCACCGGATAATCTTTTAAACTAGAGAACCGCTCAAGTTGGCTTTTGCATCACTCCTCTGGGCTTGGGTCAAGGACCACAAAGGTGGCTTCAAAAAGAAGCGAGGACAGAGAACAAAATGGAAGACAGTTAGACAGAATCCAGCTGCAGACACCGCGTGGGTTTATGGTTTGACGCCATTTTAATTTATGCGCACGTGATCAGCATGAATAATTGAATACCGTAGGTCGGGTTATATCATAGATACTATATACCCCTGGATACGAAACTCCTCTATGCACACATATAAAATCCCATAAGGAAACGTCATAAACGTCACATCCGGCTGTCCTCACCCTTGTTTCGCTGCATTCATGGCTGCCAGGGTAAGTAAAACAATCACAGTAGCCTATTCGT